GCAGGACTTGAGTCTGGGGTCACAGTGCCAGGCAACACACAGTCAGGAGAATCTAAAGAAAAGGGGGACTGTGCAATATGGGGTGTGCAGGGCTGGGCACTTCACATGCCAATYTCGGTGCAATTCTGAGCATATGAAACTCTGGAGAGGTGGCAGACAGTGGGATGTGCATGAAATGACAAGCAGCTCAGCTGTTAGGGATGCCCAGAGAAGCACRCGTGTTGTAGCTGTGTGCATGTTTACACTCAGCTAAAACTGCCCTGCAGTCCAAACCACAAGCCTGGCCTGAGCTGCCCTTCCTAGAATTGGTGCTGTGAGGCAGGAGCGGGGCTTCCCGGGAGCTGCAATGCCGGCTGCTCCGTGGGTGGAGGGCCCTGGAAGCTGCTCTGCTGGGTGCTTTCAAGCAGTGATTTCTCTTGAGTGCTTCCTCCAGAGKAGCAAGGAGTAATGTTTGTTCTCACTTCCCATGCAAACGAGCTGCCAGTTCTGAATTCCCCATGGCGCAGGGGGTTCGCCATCTCATATTCCCATTCCTCCATCTTGTCCCTCCTTTCTTTCCCTCAGCCCATGCATAATTTACTCAATAGAAATGCAGACCCCCATTTTATTCACAGTGTGCCTGCTCTGCCTGGCTCATCCCACCAAGAGGCACCTGTGAGCAGGTACTTGGCCAGGTTCAGTAGCTTCAGCAGGGATGCTCCCACCACTCTGCCTCTTGCTGCTCCTCTGGCAGAGCTGTGTCACCCCAGGGACCACGGACAGAGCTTGGAACAGGCACTGCAAGGTGTGGAACGGTGCCTCTGGGGGTGCTGCCTGATTTACTGTGGGGGCTGTACCCCTGCTTTGCTTCGGCTGCTGCTTTCCTGCAGTGAAGTGGAGACACAAGCGAAACATTAGCAAAACGTTTAATTATTGATGGATCACCATAGTTTGGCTCCCTTTGCATTTTAGATCATGCCACTGCAATGCAAACACCATTTTCACTTGGCAATAAAACATTTAAATATAAAAACATTTATACTCGCCCTCGCTTCAGYGAGAATTTGACTGATCTCATTGATTTTAAAAGCAGCTGAAGATSTTCACAGTCCCTTGCCTACACTGTGTGATTCCCCATGGGAGCAGGGTTTGGTGGGCTTTGTTTGTCCAAGCTGATCTCCAGGCAGTGGGAGCTTTAGGCTGAGCAGATCCAGCAGTCCTGAGCCCTCTCACCTCCTGTGCCTGCAGGTTCACCCAGGTTCACCCCGGCAGGTCCCTGCTCCCTGTGAGGGACAGACAGCAGGGATGCAGGGGCTGCTTGCCTGGGCAGAGCTGGTGCTGTCCAGGGGTGCTGCTGGAGGCCAGGCAATCGAGTGAAACACTCTGCAAGCAGGTGCTGAACATGGGAATGTTGTTCATCCTGAACCCAGCAGCAATCTCGAGCTTGAGTTTAAAATAATGGTTCTGAGTGTATGGAGAAAAAGGTGACCAAGTGCTTTAAAGTTTGGTTTTTGGTTGGTTTTTTTTATGTGTAAAAAGCTGTCAGCATGGATGCAGAAAACATTGTCTTGRTTCACATCTCAAGATCTGCTCCACTAACATCTGTTCCTCATAGGTGACAATAACAGAATTCACAGAGAAAGAGTTCTGGGACAGCATGAGAAAATGAACCAAGGTTGTGAATTTGTGAGTTTTCTGTGCTAGTAATTCATTGGCCAGACTGAACATCTTTCATCTGTTAAAGAAGTGGGAGATTTCCCAAGGGTTCTCTTGTCCCCAGAGTAGATGCACTGGCTGGCAGTATCAAGACTTTTAAAAAATAAGTGGTTGTCACAGCTTTTAAAAGTATTGATCCAGTATGGGGTTGTATTTTTTGAAAAGTAATCCTTTTGGAGAAGTGGGAAAATTAAATAAGAGAGGAAAAGAGAGTAGCTGGGAAGAGGGCTGTGAAAAATACCACCTCCTGAGAAGTGGTGCAGCAGCACCTTCCCTGCACACCTGGCCTGGGCACAGCTGTGCAGAGCAGAGACAGGTTTGTGCTGTGCCAGTAAATTCTCCCAGTGCAGTGTAATGCAGAGCATTCTGTTTCTCACCAAAAGGCAGGGCTTGAACAGGATTCCATTTTAAAGAATTGCACAGTGATTGAGTATAAAACAAGAAGAATTAATTTCAGCTCATTGTATTATAACTAAAATAATTTTTCCTTGGTGAGTATAGATCCAAACTTTTCCTCTGAATCCAGCGATATCCCTGTGATGGCATCTCCAAGAGGAGTGGGCTCCCCATCCTGCACAGCAGCCACTACCTGTCAGAACACATGGAATCAAGTGCAAAAGAGCAYAGCTTCTCACACCTAATGTTCATCTGTTCCTGTAATATTTAGCTCCCTTTCCRAGGCCAATTCCAAGGCTAATAGCCATCTAATTCCAGGTACTTCCAAATGCTAATAGTCCCAATGCTTATTCATAGTTCTCCAAGCTGCCAGTGCAAGGTAGAACTGCCTCCCTGGAAGGAGTGATGTGCTGAGCTGCAGACTCCTGCCCTCAGTTTTCTGGGAATGTGCCCACTGGGAACTGAAAACCGAGGCCCGAGGCAGAGTCCAAGGGCTGGAAACCCCTGCCTGTGCTGGGAATGCGCTGGGAATGCACTGGGAATGCGCTGGGAATGCACTGGGTGCTGGGCTGCTTCCCAAATTGTGCCTAATGCCCACACAGGAGGTGACTGGGGAGGTGCTGATCCCTGTGAAGATTCTGTCTTTCTGCTGCTCTAGGCTGATACCTGCCAAGTCTGCAGAACCAGAGTGGATTATTAGGCAGAAGTCTTTTATTCTTTGAGTTTAGGTTCATTGGCAGGGTGGTTGGGTTTTTTTTCTGTGCAATCAAAATAAACCTGGCAAAATCTGCACCTATTTTCTGTACAAAGGCTGGGGACTCTTTCGAGCGGAATAACAAACTGTCTGAGCTTTTATAACCCTCTAAATAGGGCAGCTGTTGTTGGAGTGGTGTTCCAGCAGCACCCTTTATTTCTTCTCAGAAAGGAGCTCCTGTGTTTTGCAAAGCTCTCCTCTTATCTGTACTCATCTGCACCTGATGCAGCTAATAAAAATGCAGCAGATTTCAAATTTGCATACATTATTTTATAATTGCATGCTTCCAAGTGTAACCCACTGAAAGTGTTTGTGTTCAGACGATGTCGTCGAGGATGTGGTGATGGACATTTTGGATTTTCTCTGAAAATGAGGTGCCGGTGTGGGGTGGGAACCTGCACCTGAGGGAGCACCAGGCATTTCTGCAGTGCACAGGAAGAATTCCCAGCCGCTGGCACTAGAGACAGCTTATGCTATTTTTGTATGCCTTTACCTTAGGTGCACTTCGGGCTCCTTGAACCTCCCAGAGACTCTTGATAAAGGGATTGGATTTTTATCATCTGTCTGTAATGAATATAACATCTCAGAGGCAGCTGCAGGAGGAGGGGAAGCACACACGTGTGTTAGCAAACCACATTGCATATTGCTGCAGGCAGACCTCCCCGTGTTTCCTTTGCTTATGGGGTGGGGAATGGTCAAGAATGTTTCTTAAAGCCATGATGAAAACATTTGGTTTTCACATAATGATGTTTTCCTGAGGAAAGATGAATCCTTTCCACCTSATTTACCTTCATTGTCTCCCAGCTTCCAGTGTGTTTTGTGTTGCTTGTTGGGGTTTTTCTCACTCCTGTCCTTGTGCTGGTACCTCCCTGACTACTTTCTTAGTAGGCTGCACAYCTAAGGGTGTTTCTGGCACTTTTGGCAGCTCTAGAACAGTACATGTGCTGGAGTGGGAAGGGAAGGTAGCCTAGCAGGACTGGTTCTGCCTTGGAAAGAAGTAGTTACAGCTTTCTGGAAGGTGAGTCCTGTCTGATGATAAAAAGTCACAGGCATCACTGGTTGTCATAAAGGAGAAGGGTTGCTGTGTTCCTCCACTATGGGTATTTTTAAAATGCTGTCTGTACTGCTCCAGTAGCTCTTGCTAGTTTGTTAGGACTCATTATAGCATTTACCAGTCCATAGGAATACAATTAATAGTAGTAACTTGAGCCTTTGGGCCAAAGAGTGTAYGTGAAAAAGTGTTTTCCTCCTCAGGTGCAGTGCCTGGGTAGAGCTGTTGCTTGCACAAGGAACAAATTTAAAATGTAGCTCAATTTTGCTCAGTTATTGCTTCAGAGGCAGTGAAACTGGGAGAGTGAGCTGGATTGTTTYCCCATTTAATCATCTGTGCAATTGCTAATTAACTTCCTATTGCTGGAGCTTTATTAATGCTAAAGATGTGAAAGGCAGGAAGAATGCAGTTTGATTTTTTCCAGCTGATGGCTGAAAGTGAAGAACTGACCATTAGCAGAAGGCTGTTGTTTCAAAATCTGGAATTACTGAGAAGCACTTGAATGTTAGAGCATCGTCTTCACGCTGGCTTTTTGGTTTATAACCCAAAGCCATTCCTGCAGCCTAATTGGCAGGCTGTCCCTAAGTGCTTTATAATCCAATTAACATCCAGAGCAGTAATAAAGCATTTGAGCAAACGGAGGGAATTTATCTATCAGTGCCTCGCAACAGTGTRTTTGCAGCAAAGGCTGTGAGGTGCCTGTGTGCTCCTCTGGATGGTTGTATGGATTGCTGGGCAGTGGGAATGGAGCTGCCAACCCCCTCAGGAGATATTGTACCTGCTCTGTGCAGATCTGAGCGCTTCRCTTCCCTCGAGGAAAGAGCCGTGCTGTTCTCTAGGGGAGTGTCTGTGTCCCCCTGTGTATCTGAGGGTCACGGTGTGGTGCTGGCCACAGAAGCAAATTGCACAGTAAATATTTGGGGAGAGGCGATGCTCGAGGACAAGGTAAGCTGAGGCACAAGGAGGTGAGGTAGAGCCTTGTGTTTGGGTACTGCAGGGCTGGGCTGGGCAGCCTCTGGCGGTGTTACTGAGCACACGKGGGGTGGGTGTGAGTAGCTGATTAAACATCTGAGCTTTCTTTCCCCCCTTTCCCGCTTTTTGCAGCTCTCCATGAATTCCCCAATGACATCTTCACGAATGAGGACAGGAGACATGGAGCTGTGGTCCTGCACGTCCTCTGTGTAAGTGWTGTGACTTTGCCTTTCTTCTCCTGCTGCCATGGACAGGGCCCGGTGTGCTCCAGAGTTCTGACTGAAGCTATTTTCTCTTCAGTGCATTTTCATCTCCTGTGCRGATTGTGGAGTCAGGGATGTGATAGTTTTTGTTCTTGGGATCTTCTGATAAAAAGGAGTCATCTTGATAATAGAAGGATAGTTTAAACTTGTTTCCTGTTTACATTCCTTCTGTAAACTCTGTTAACATGTCAGTCCATAAGAAAGGGAAAGTTGTCTCTGAAAATGGAACMGTTTGGCATCTTTAAGATGAAAACTAAATGTCAGAGAGCTAAAAGATACAAGATTTCTGCTACAAGTAACTCTGGAACACTCTGCAATGCATGGGATAGTATTATTGACATAGAAATATCTGTGGGATTACATGGATTGGAAAGTTTGCTTTATCAGCTCTATGYGTTACATTAGAGGCATTCTTAAGCCACCAAGAAAATACCCACTTCTAATAATGTTTGAAAGCTTTTAATAATTTTTAGTCAGCTTCAATGGTCAGTCATCATTAGCTGTGAGAAATGATTCATGATTTCTTTTAGACTATAAATTAGATTGTATTGTGTATTTTAATATGAGCTCTCTGTGTTAGGATTTTGTTTTGGCTAAACGGCTGCAAAAATTTGTTGAGTAACGTTGCTRTTGACTGTGCCTGGCAAGTTCAACAATCCCAAGTTTCCATGGGAACATGAGCTTTGAGATGTTTTGGAAAACTGAGCACTGGACCCGAGCTGGATGTTTTATCACCCACAAGAATACTCCTAAAAATTCATGTATGAATTCAGTTCTGAATGCGCTGAATATGCCTTTAACATGTACCAAAATGGAGACTGGAGGACTGAAATTTTAGATGAACTGTCTGCTTCGGAATAGAAAGAAAAATCTGGTTTTCATAAAAAGTAGAAAAGCATCTTCTATCCCAGCAGAAATGTGCTTAGTTTCTTCTCTTCTAGAAAGCAGCAGGGCAGCTCCCTCGATCCAGAGGTGCTCCATCATTCTCTGTAGCARTTTTGTTGACTTAGGAAAATTTACTGACTGCTCTTTGTCTTATGGTCCCTGAGGTGGAGGAACTGGCTGGATTCAGCCTCTCTGGCACTGGGGTAACTGGGGACAACCTCTTGTCAAAGGAAAAAGTGATACTTAGAGAAAACAGACAACAGTCAGCATTTAGCAAMCTGCCTCTAGCCTGGATTGGAAGGGGTGTTCATCATATTGGGGTGATCAACCTCTAGTTCTCTTTTTTACCTCCCAGAAATGTGTGATGAAATTACAGCATAAGCAGAAGTGCACTTTTTTTGTGAAAAAAGGATGCAGACGCGGAGTTTCATTGTCTCCACTGAGGTTTCTTCATGGGTTTGAGGAAATCAGCCTGTAAAATGGGCTATTTAATGGTAGGGAGAACAATACAATGATGATTAGAGGTCATCATCATACTTGTTGTGTTACTGACCTCCCCTTGAACATTCTATTCATTTCAGTAAAAATGTTGTTCTCTCTTCTCTGCCCCTTTGCCCATACTTTCATGTTTATTTCTGAAAGACATCAAGGCAAAGCTGGTTTACCAGAAGCCAGAAAAATGGGACAAAAGCTATCACTGAGACCTTGGGGGGAATGCAGGAGGCTTCCTAGGGCATCTTCTCCCTATTGTTCAATAAAAGTGAAAAAAGACCCCAACAAATCTTCACAGTAGGGCTGTGTGAATTACTAAACAGGATCTGGGGCTTCAGAAAGACTAAATTAAATCCCTAAACACTTAGAAAATCTCAGAAAAGCTAGGCAGTTCAGCAGTAGTTTTAGGTCTGAACTGACAATCCTTTGAAGGAAAAGTGGGCCACTGAGGACATTACAGGTTTAGAGTCATGGTGTTTAATTTCTCCTGGATAGTTCTTCAGAGCTCATCAGCTGACTGCTTCACTGCCATTCATTATTTCCATGTCCCCTCTGAGGAGAGGCTGTGCTGCTACAGACAGGAACTCCCCGCTAAGTCACTGGTTTGGGATGTTCAGTTTGGAGGGGTCAGGGTCTGGATTTTAAAAGTCTGGTGATGTCCCTGCAGCATGGGAGCTCCCCAGCACCCAAGGGCTTCTTTTTGCAATATTAACATTGTTGTTAGTAGGATCATAGCCTGGACTGGATTGGAAGGAACCTTAGGCATTATCCAGTTCCAACTCCCCTGCCATGGGCAGGGACACCTTCCACTATCCCAGATTGCTCCAAGCCCCATCCAGCCTGGTCTTGGACACTYCTAGGAATGGGGCAGCCAYAACTTCTCTGGGCAACCTATGGTCCCCACCCTCACCGGGAATAATTTCTTCCTAATRTCCCATCTACCCTGCCCTCTRTCAGYRTGAGGCCATTCCCCCTTGTCYTGTCACTCCAGRCCCWTGTCTAAGTCCCTCTCCAGCTCTCTTGCAGTCCCTTTGGGTACTGGAAAGCCGTGTAGTTGTTCTCTCTTGGCCTTTTTGTGGTTTTCAGTTTGTTCCAGYTGATGTCCCAATATGGACTTTCAGCCCTGCCACACTCATGGGCACTGGCACCTGTTAACCTCCTGAGACAATGGGGAAATGGATTTGCTGAGAAATTCCCATGGTTTTTGCTCACAGCTGAGAATGGGGGGTATTGGTTTTCTGTCTTATCCTGGTGTTTTGACAGCRCAGTGTTGCTTCCCCTTTTCCCAGCTTGCTCCAGCAAATCTGGGGTGCGGTGTCAGGATATGTTGGGCTGGCAGCGTGAGGACCCCGTGCATGGCTGGAGTCAAGCCTGTCCCTGGGCAGGGCTGGTCCCTCCCCACCGAGCAGGGTGGAGGAGCAGTGTCTGTGCTCAGCCATCCCTCCTGCTCCTGCCTTGCCGCTGCTTCCTGTAGCCATGGGAACGGGGTGCTYTAACAGGCACCTGCCTCCCTCCTGCGAGGCGCTCAGGAAATGTAGGTCGCCCTGGATRTATCCTGTCTTTATCTATTTCTGCGTCGGGTCAGTACCCAGACACATCTCATTTCTGCAGCAYGGAGCCATCTCGTTAAGGGGATGATTTTTCTGGTGTCCTGGCCATCCGTGCTGCTGCTGTGTGAGCACTGYTGGGCACGTCGTGTACACAGGCCTGATTAAACCTGGGCTCTGTGGCTTCCTGCTTTGGCTTGGGCTTTTTAATTTCTCTCCAACATTTTAGGTGGGTTTGTAATGCAGTCCGGGCTGAGGAAAGCCCTGAGCTTGGTTGATGCGGTTCCAGGGGTAGCCCCTTGCTAGTTCTGCTTCCCCTGGGGCAGGGGATATGTGGGGCAGCAGGGACAGTCACCTCAGCCTTTACCAGCAGGGAAAAGCAGGGTTGTGGGGATTGTTACTTCTACAGCAGCTCTCTTGTGAAAAGCTTCTTTAGCTCAGTAAAGCAAGTTTGAGTATGAGGACTGCCCTGAGAAGCTCAAAGGACTGCTGGACAAACAAGAAAAATTACCATTTCTGTCCTGTGCAGTGGAACAGGTGTTTTGAGTAAGATGCTTAATCGCCTTTGATGCAGAGATTGATTCTCTGATGCTCGTYTGTTAGAATCATCATTTTAAAATGAGTCCTAATGTGGTACTTAATCTGGCATTTATAATCTTTTTATAAAGGGCCATTGCATTTTTATACTTTTTTAATGCCCTTTTGGGGAGGAGGAGTGAGTGTCTTTTAGGTGTTTTGCCTGGCCAAAGACTCCCATATCATCACTTGSAGCTGAGCACAATCCAGTGATGCTGGGGCTGAGCCTTACTTGGTGTGTATGTCTTTCACAGGCCATTGCCATTGCACAGGCCATTTTCCATGGCCCCCAACCACTTCCTTTATTCCAAGTGGCAATCACGGGTGGAACAGGCTTCAGTCCATGCTTCCCTGCTCCTTTCCAGACCTGCTGCTCTCATGGTGCCTGTGAGGACAGGGGTGTGAGTGCTGAAGGAAAAATCCATGGGACTCCTTGGTGGAATCTCAGCATAACTTAGATGGAAGATGATACCACTTTGTCAGCTGCTGAGTGTCTCAGCCTGGCCTGTCCTAATGCTGCTGCCTTCCTCCCKCTTGCATAAAGTAGCCCCCACTGGTCTTTGGGCTCCATTTTGAGTCTGGTATGACATGTAATTAAATGTTTTGGTTGTATTCCTGCTGGCCCAAACTCTAAACATTGCTTTAAAAAGCAAACAAACAAGAAATGCCCCACCAAAAAACCACTAAGATCTTCCAAGGAAGTAACAGTTACTATCCTCATGTGTTCACTGACTGTGGGTAGCACCCAGTGTTTAGGGTGAGCAAGGCTGGCGTTTGGCCAGATGCTCCTTACATTCTGACACTTTACAATTTATCCTTAATTGCGTTTGAGCAAAATTAGGGAAGACTCACAGCCAAAACCAGATTTATGACAGCAATGAGGTCATTAAAGTAAATGCTGGAGCATAGGTATCAGTGCAGGTTCAGCCTGGTCAGTGCTCTCAGCCCAGTGTTAGTGCTCATCCTGGGGAATGCAGCAGTTTTGGCTCTGTGCTTCCAGCTGCTGCTGCTGCAGCAGGGTGCCAGTCCCCACTCCTCCAGGGGTATGAGCAAGAACCTGGGGTGGCAGTTCCTCTGCATTTGTTTTTCTGTTCCTTACTCATTTTAGTCCCTTTTTTTACCTTTCTATTTGTACCTGATCCTACTAATGACAAAGCATGGGTGGACAAAAGAAAATCCCCTTGTTGCCCTTGAAGGTTGTTGATGTGCCCTCTAAAGAAAATGACACCATGAGATTCCACTTAAATACCTGCCCAAGGGTACCGGGATATGGAGATGCTTTGGCAGTCTTGTGTGCAGTGGAAGCAACTCAAACCATCCCCTGAGATCATTTGAATGTATGCATAAAAATTCATAGAAGGAATTTCCTAAACTGAAAAACTGGTGAGTCTCTAGCCCCTGGTGTCCCTCTGGCTGTGCCATGGAGCTTGGCATCACCTGAGGCCACCTAAAGACAGCGCAGCGCGTGTGTGCCACGTGTGGGGGCAGCTGGGGTGAGCTGCTTGGGCTGCTGTGGGTGCCTGTCTCCCCTTGGCCCCCATTTCCTTGCCTGCCTCCAGGAGGTGCAGGAAGCCCAGCAGCCACGTGGAGCCCTGTGCTCCGTGAGTGTGGATCATGTCAGACTGAAAGGACACACTCGCTTTACAGGGATGATGATGATCATGGACAGGTTAGCTTTCTTAAAAGGCATTACTGTATGTTTAGGCAGGACAGCATGCAGAGGGCATGACCCACTGCAGATTAATATGATTAGCAGATCAAAAATCCAGGCTGAAGCTGGGCACCCAGTATCAGTTGTATTTCAATGGAATCTGGCCATATAACTCTCCGGGGCCGTTTCTGATCCTTGTTCCTGTGATGCACGATGCCTGTGAGCCATTTGCTTCCTTCATCTCTGTTCATCCAGTTGGTATTGTGTCAGCAGCTGGTGCTCCTTTTGCAAGAATCAGGTTCTTTGCTACACCCCACAGAGCTGGAGACCTGGAATTTTGCCTATGCTTGTGGTTCTCAGAGCTATTTTGCAGTGTAAGATTTTCARAAATCCTAAGCTGCACTTACTCATGTTTATGAGGAGTGACAAAGAAGTACAGAAACTGTCCAAGCGATATTCTAGTGTGTATTCCTCGAGATTGTGTCAAAATCGTTTGTTATGATGAAATTCCCATCTCTAATCCTAAAAAAATATGCATGAATTATTTTTGTGCTTGAAAAGTTCTCATGGCTGAGACATAATTACTGGCTTTTGTGGCAAAGCTGTAATTCTGGCAAATTAGAATCTCTGTTTTTGATGGGGTTGGGGGATTTAAATCTGTTCCTGGAAAATCAGAGCAAGAACAAAAAACCTGGAGGCCACTTTTATTGCTGCTTTCTCTCCAGAAAAAATACKCTGGTCTCCCATCACCTCAGCTTCTGCAGGACTTGAACTATAAGCAAAGCTGGAGGATCTGTTGGTGATGGTCTTGTAACTGTGATTAAGGATTAAGACACTGTTTTTCTACAAACACTGGCCACTTCTCTCAGCTGTAGTTACTCAGCTGCGCTGCTTGTAGAAGTAACCGTGGTGGTTCTTGGCAGGTGTCACAAAAAAGGTGGAGCTGTCTTTGAATGTCCCAGCAAGTCCCCTGTGCTTGGACAGGGCTGGTTTGTGCTCAGCTGCTGGTGCCTGAGACCAACCTCTGTCTGCATGCCCAGAATTTAGGCAGCTCTGAGATGTGTGTATGTGCTTTGACAGGAGCTTGCTGGGAATGAGATCCAGAATGACAGGGCAGCCTGGCTGTGTGGCAGAGCTCTGCAGCCCATGTGGGCAGGTTGTTCCCTGCTCCCGTGGGATGTGGTGCTGGGAGCACTGCAGAGCTGGGTGCTGCCTGGCCAGTGGATCCCCTGAGAGTGCAGTCCTGCTTCTCTCCCCCTTCCCAGCTGCTCCATTGGCTTTAAGGCTTTGCTGGGCTCTGCAGGGCTGCTCTGCACCCCACAGTGTGTGCTGCCCTTGCTCCTCTGCCTCTCCATATTCCCAGCTCTGTTCYTTTCTCTCAGGTCTGTTTGTGTGGGCAGGTGCAGGAGCAGCCTGTGTGGCCTTGGATGTGTCCATACCTGAAAACCTGAGTGGGCTGAGGGCTGGACTTAGCCTGGCTGTGGAGGTTCAGCCTGGCTCAGAGGGTTGTGGGGGTGTGCTCTGCTGGTACCTGGCRTGCTTTTCCCTTGGTTTTCCCCTGTGCAAATGGGCATTTTCCTATCCAGTGGCAGTATGTGTGTTGAGGTAGGGTTTGAGCTCCTTCCCTGTAGGCAGTATGGGTCAGGTTACCCTCCAGGGCTTTGCTGCATGGGTATGAGCCACACTGTGCCCTTTGCCTCTCAGGGCAGAGACCAGGCCCAAGCACATTCTGTTTAATAGCACAGAAACATGGATTAAATGCTTCTTGTGTGAAATCAAAGAGCTGATTGGTTCGGTGTCCTTTCAAGTCTTGTATTGCCCCTTCATTTCATTTGTTTCTATGTGAAGTTCAGCAAGATTTACCACTGGAACCCAGGTGACATGGCTGGGCACTTCTGTCGCAGAAAACAAGTTCCCTTTTTTCAAAACACTGGATTTCAAAAATGACTCCTCCAGGGTTTAGATTTTCACAGAACAGAATGATAAAAAAGCCTTGCACTGCACAATGGGGAAAAAATGGAAAGCAAAAATACTTCAGTGTGGCTTAACAATGTCCAGAGAATTTTAAAAAAAGAAAAGCTGTCTTTACAGTGAACATAAAATGTTGGCAGCTTTTGATGGTTTGTAAGAACTTTTGGATAAATACTTCACGATCTTTTGATTAAATCCCAGACAGCTCTAAGAATTMTTCTTGCAAGAGCATTTTATTTGCTTGAAAAGTCTGTACCAAATCAAACCTGTGATGAGTTGGGCTGCTGCTGTTCAGATCTGTTTGACAGTATCCAGACTCAACCTTTTCTCTTTTCCATTGCAGGCTGTTTATATGTTTTATGCATTGGCAATCGTCTGCGATGACTTCTTCGTCCCTTCGCTGGAAAAAATCTGTGAAGTAAGTCTTAGAAGGTGTTCCTTCCTCGTGTGCTGCTTTTGCAGAACTCTGGGGAGCCTCAGAGCATCTTGATGGTGTATTTGCCATTGTCCTGCAGCGTTCCTCGTACTGCTTGTCTTGTTGCTCAACACAACGTGTGCGTTGACTCAGCTCCACGTTCTCCCTCGCAGTACGTGCTCTTGCAGGTGTTCCGAGCGTTCCCACTCTGGTGGTTGCTGTTGCTTCTTGTTTGTGTGTCTTTGTGGATGTCTCTGCAGAAACACCASGCCCTAGCCGTAGCTGACACAAATTAAAACCTCTGGTGACATACCCCAGTAGAAATCGCRGATCTTGTACCTTGCCCTCGAAGTCATGACTGTCATGCCTTGTACCGTGTGGGTGTAAGTTGTAAAGCAGCAGGGACAGCTAGGTCAGCTGTAAAGAAGCATGTGAACGCTTCCAGCAATTGCAAGGGACTCTGTTTCTCTTTGGTAAGATTGGGATGCTTAAATTTTAGAAGACAAGGAGTACATTTTAGCCTAAATCAGCTCAGACAGCTACAGAGCGAACACAGACCATGTGCCCAAAGTTACTGTGAGCCTTATCTGGTGTCAGTGCCAGGCAGTGAAATGTTTTTGTGTGGAAAATATGGTTTGGTTTGGCAGTGAGAGGTCTTTGTAGAACATGCCTGCCCTATGCCTGGGAACGAGTGTCGCCCGTCCGGGCGTGGGCTGTCCCTGGCCCTGGGAGAGGTGTGAAGGATGGCAAGACAAGTTATTTGTGCTGACAGCTCTGATGGAAGTTGTCTCCAAACTAACCTGGTATTTGCAGTTCAGCACCCTGCTGTGTGGCCCTTYTTTGCATCATCAAGGAAAAAAGCTTGAGTGGCTAGGGACAAACTCCATCGCTTCCCTGCACCTCTGTTTCCTGCACTGCTCAGTAGAAATGTTGATCTTTGTGTCTACAAATGACGGTAGGGAACACTGTGCATGATGGTAMCAGTTTCTAACTTTACTGGTGATAAACTTCATAGTCACAAGCAAGGGGCTCACAGGCTGCAGAAGTCCRTCTTTTATGGTCATTAACTCTCTGMAYATGTAGGATCTGTGTGTTTCCACCTGCCCCAGAACCTGGTTAAACAGGTGCCAGCCTTATGGTGCCTTTTTTTCTTGTGACAGATTCTCAGGTATTTTGTRCAGACATCTGATGTCTAAAAAGCAAACACCTTCCCTGTGTTATTTACTGCAGCATATTGCAAGCCCCTGGGCCCTAGAATGGAGTTTTCACTTGCCCAGGTCTTTGCTTTTTAGTTATTTGYTGTCTTCTCAATAGTACATAACAATTCCTCAGATGCCTTAGTGGTTCTGAGCCATTCTGTTATCCAGCACCATCAATAAGATGATGATAACAATTTTTATTCAATTGTGTGTAAAAGAGAAGGCTTAGCAATTGGACACCAGATCTGGAGTACTTGCATTGAGAATTTACTGTCCAGGAGAAAGGGATTGTCAAAGTGGATCATATAAATGGATCAGACTTTAACTGTTCCATTGCTTCTGCTTGATTCTCTCCCAAAAAGGTCTTTTCTCACCCCACAAGTGATGTTTGGAGGCATTCAAATTTTTTTCATGTATTTTATGCAGCAAGAATTCAGGCCTCCTACCTGAAGCCTTGTTTGGCCTTGAAGATCAGCCAGTAGTTATTCTACATCTACACACAGTTGAARTGCTCTAGTTCTAAAACAAATGTCCTTTTTCTGGCTTAGCTTCACCTAGCCTGGGAAGCAATTGTTGAATGGAATCGACAAGCCATTTGTGCACCCAAACGTGTGTGTTGACATGAGAATTTGCTCCAGAACACTCGCTATGGTAGACATTCACATTCCATATTAGTTCAGATGTATTTACAAAAATACCCTGATTTTAATTTGTCTTCAAAGTCACTTTCTGCWTGCACTTGCCTGGCTGCTCCATTCCTGGTGTTACAGAGCATTTACATGATGTCAGGGGCAAACATTTGTCTGCAAATACATTTTTGCCTCCTACACAGGGTGCTGTTTTCTGCTCTGTTATATCAGCTTAAAATATGATGCATTTCAGTGAATTCTCTAGCAATTGTCCTCAAGGGCACGTACTGTAGCTTTGAATTAAACCATCAGCGCTGCTGGTTTCCTTRACTGGTGTCTTTGCTTTCAAAAGACTGTGAGTTCCAGCAGCTGTTGTAGGATGGATGTCTCCATAGTTTCATGGAGCATCCTGCACAAGAACCTGGCCTTTGGGGATCTACTTCTGATCCTGTGAACTTCTTTCATGATAAAAATAATTTTCCATAAAATATTCCTGTTAAAAATAATTTTCCATAAAGCTGTATTTAATCTGGCTCCACAAGCTTTTATAGCACTCCAGCAATGCTGTGGTCTTCTGCTTCAAAGGCATTCCTGGTGAGAGCACATCCTGTCCTTTCCCCTTGTCTCCATAACTTATGTACAAAGGTTGGTTGTTATCTACGTGTGTGGATAGGGTTAYCCTCCTTTAGGGGCCAGGAATATCCATTGTGGAATCTTCAGAAAAGGCTGGTGTGAAGACATCTGCACTCTTGTTTCTGGCAAAGGCACTTCGGTGAGGATGAAGTAGCAGAGGACCCTGCAGTGCTGTGGGGGAACGGGGGCTGAGGGAGGTTTCCTGTGTCCTGCCAAGCTGGGGGTGCTGCCTCAAAAGCCAGCTCTGCCGGGGAACACCAGCCTGGGGTTCTTCCCTGTGTTCCTGGCTGCCTTTCCTGTTCTCCCACAGTGGCAGCTGCTGCCTTGGTATAGTAGCAGCTGAGGGGTGGTGGCCGTATGGTTCTCAGCAGCCTTGTAGCATCTGCTGAGTAGTAACTGGTGCAGATGGAGCAGTGGGAGTGCAGGCAACATAGAGGGTGTAATTAGCCAAGTAAATCTTTGGAAGCAGCATATGCTGATGAAGTTTTCACAGAACAGTGGGTCCTTTTCCTTGCGGAAGCCCCCATTTTTTAAACAGTCCGTGGGTACTGCTGAGGGGCAGGTATAGGACGTAATGATGTCGTCCAGGAGAAAGGGGCTAAGGAGAGAGTAAATGGCCAAGGCTTAAGTCGTACCAGGGAAGGTGGCTGGGGGTGAAYCAAGGCTGAACCCCCTTTATGGGCTAAAGTGGAAGAGATAAGGTGTGTGCTGCTGGGGTCACRGAGGACACAGCTGTGAGTGACAAAGGTGCCTTCTTGTTGTCTGGAGTGCTGACCTTTCCCTCCTCTCTAAGGTGTCCCTGGCATAACCTGCCCTCTGCCAGGTGATGCTGACTGAAGCAGCCAATGCCCGTGGTGACTTTTCCCCTCTACTTAATATTTGTTAACACAAAACTTTATAGGTATCTGCTCTTGGAAGGCAGTTTAACGTTGGGAGTGGAATTACTTCAGCTGCTCAGTGTGGTAATCAGTGACTCTTTGTTTCTCTGCAGCGCTTGCATCTTAGCGAAGATGTGGCTGGGGCAACTTTCATGGCAGCAGGAAGCTCTGCTCCTGAGCTGTTCACATCTGTCATAGGTAAGTAGCCTGCTGCTGCTGCTTCCCAAAACCTGCACRTTTGCCTGGCTGTTTTCAGAGATGAAACAGGATTGCTGTGTGCCTGCAAAGTTTTTTAAAATCCCTCCTGGACACACAGSGGACTGACTGTGGGGAGTCCTCGCCAGATGAAGTGACTCTGAGCGTGCCATTATCTCCCAGCAGGGATTGGATGTGACCCCACCAAACTATGATCAGTGGGCACTTCACTGTAACTGCCYGTTAGCCAGGCTGCATCTACAGCCTTATCCTCTCCTGTCCACTTCCCTACCCCATCTGCCACATCAGCTCCAGGGCACAGTGGGAAGGGACTTCCTYCAGCCTCCCTGGTTGGTACCCTGGCACACTGTTCATGTCCTCAGCAGCAGGTTCTCTGCCATCACCTCCCCCGTGGTTAGGCTTCCAACACCCATTTTTCCCTGGAAAAGCCAGAGTGGGGAGGACAGGAGCGYTTGAAATGCTTTCTCACAGCAACAAGTTGGTTGGAGCATCACACTACCAAAGCAACTCTCTGCTTAGGGGAAGTGTGATCAAGGGATTCAGCAGTCCCTAAGTGTGCAAAACTGGGAAACTCTTGTGGTGCCCCCACAGACGTGACAGGAGGGGACTGCAGGCAGTGTTACGRTGATGCTGTACCTAAGCACAAGGGCCAAGTGTTCTTGCAGTTTGACTCACCCACGTCTTCATTGGGAGGGGATCATCAGGGCAGCAGCAGGGAGGGTACAGAGTGCTCTCCATCACCAAGCAGAATTAGTTCTCAGCTCAGATTCTTTCTCTAGGAGACGCTTCTCTTTCAGTCACAGTTGCCAGATGCAGAGCATAAGTTAATTCACACAAAGCTGTGTGTTCTGGAGAGAGGTATGATTACACAAACAGAGCCTTAACAGGTGGAAACTTAAATTAGACCAAGTTGAGGTTGTCTTTTGGTTAAGGGTAGGGCAGTAGCAGAGTCAAAATACAGCCAGATTCCTTCAGGTGACTTAGAGAAGCCCTGATGGTCATCAGATCATTTTCCTGCTGTGGTGTAACCCATCAGGTATTGTGTGTCAATTGGCAGGTGAGTGYTCCTGTGTTTCTGAGTAAAGGATAAAGTTGGAAAAAATACATAAACTGCACTGGCCAGATAAATGCTGTTGGAACTTTAAAAGCAAGTGGTGAACTTRAGCAGGCTGACAGCTAGCAGGAGATGGAGTGTTATTTTTAGGCTGCCTTCCTAAGGAAAGGGTTTTGTGCAGCATGATGATGCATGTGTCTGTCAGTTCATCTCCCTCACTGTTAACCTCATTGGCCAATTTTAACCAAATTTGACAGAAGAGCTCTGAAAAAAAACTTGTAACGTAGCCCCATAACTCATCCTGAGAAGCWTCACTCAGCTTGTAAGTATCTGTGGCCAGACAGCTCTAAATCATCTCCAGCTTCTACTGAAGCTTCATCCCTGCTGAAGCCTGTTGGGATGGGGATATGGGAAGCAGCAGAGTACTGGTCAGGGAGTGTTTCGTGGGAGACAATTTCCTGCAGATTTGTGTCCAACCAGCTGTTCCCACAGGCTTGCAGTATTTTATGGTGTGTATTGCCATAATGTTGGGTCATAGGACCAGGAGGTTGGTAACGTAGATGCGTCTAAGGTACTTGGTTTCCATCACACAATCCATCCAGGTTTCCTCAGAAAGCAAGTCTCTGCTCGTTGCCCTATTAAATATGAGAAAAAAGTGACAGGACTAGTACCTGTCTWTGGATTCATTAATGGGGTGTGAAGTTTGCAATTTTATGTGAAAAAAAATCTGCTCTTTCCAATTTACACAGCTTCTCTTGAACTTGTTTTTCAGGTGTTTTTATTACAAAAGGAGACGTGGGCGTTGGAACCATCGTGGGCTCAGCTGTATTCAACATTCTCTGTATTATTGGTGTGTGTGGGCTTTTTGCAGGGCAGGTAAGAGCTTTTAATGATTCCTTACAGTTTTTGCTTCACCCTGTGCCCTGGCTGTACTGTGAAATCAGATGCCAGGTTCACAACCTTGCCATGAATTTCTCTGGCTTTGTTGTCTTTAATAGGGCCCTTTGCTGTTCCTCTCTCATTTTTGAAATGAAAAGCAGAGCAGCAAACGTCATCTCAGGCATTTTGAGCTGCCCAAGATGTGTGGGTGGGCAGAGGAATAAAYGTTGGTTGTTTGCTCCTAGTGTAGCTTGTGACTGTTCTCCAGCGTGTCAAACCGCTTACAACAACACAAGCAATTCATCTGAAATTAAAGTAATTAAGTTGTGAGATCTGAGCTGCTGTCTRAATTGCAGACATGATTGACTGTATAATTAAATATCTGAGTCTGCATTTACCTTCGCACTTGCCAACATGCCCGGTGTTTTTACAATCTCATAAATGTTCTTTGACGCGTTCCTGTGCAGACTTATTTGTAAAGACGAGAAGCAGGGTCATGTTACCAACCATGGGCTCTGGAAGAATAACTCAGGAGAAGGGACCTCGGTCAGTCTGAGAAAACATGCAGAGAGTTGGGTCTTTCCTTGTGATCCACGTCTATTTCCATTAGCAGTGAAGTTTTACAGGATGAAGGTGAACATTTGCATTGTGAGGAGGCCTCAGGATAAGGTCACAGCAGTGCCTTTTAAACCCCCACRTGTCCTGATTTGCATGGAACATGCTGCTGGGAGCTGCAGATGCTCCATGGTGGTTCTGCTGTAACTCTTACTGTGAAAACCCCGTTCATGGAGGTAAATTTTTAATGACCAAAGCCTTCCCAGGACATGAAGCTATGTTCCCCAGAGGTGTTCTTCTGCTGTCAGTAGGACTTCTTGCTCAGGCTATTTTTTTCATGCAAAATGAAGGTGATTAGCTGTGTAGCCTGATGGCAGAGGAGCCAATTCTTCTGATTATTGCTCTCCACAGCATTGATTGCATACTTCAAACCTGCTTTAAAAAAATGGCTACAAGCCGCAGCTTTTGGTGGAAAATGCCTGCTAGAGTTTGGGGCTTGGCAGAGAATGTCAGTCTGCTCAAGAGACCTTTTACAGGTGGGGGATCTTATAGCCAAAATGCTCTTGTAAATGCCTTCAGCCTTCCAGGAGTGCTATCTTTTAGGAGTTCAAGTCATCCTAAACATGGTCTGTGAGTSTTTTTCAAGCTAAGAATTGAGATTTTGACTGCTTTGCCCCAGCTTTGTTTTCCTTGACTCTGCTGGTGATTTGTGTGTGGTTTTGTCAAGTCATATAACCTCTGTTTGCTGCAGTTTAACCTTCAGAGGGCGGGTGACCACTGGAATGATTGAAGTCACCACATGAAATTTTGATTTTAGTGAGCAAGTAAGAAATCTCAGTGTCAATAATTCCACTGTTTTACATAAAACTCTGATTCAATTTATGCTTTTCATTGTTTCCCACTCCCCACRTTTCTCCAAAAAGTCATTCCCTTTTATTGATGTGATTAATCTTTTGTTTTGTTTTAGTATAGGAATATGGTTTTAGTTAGAATAGGGTTTTTTTATGATCAAAAATCTCTTTAGTGGCACTAGCATAGGTGGCATATGGTTTGGCACATATTTGGTTGTTGGTCAAATTTCTGTTCTGCTGGGGACCTGGATCTCAGTTTTGAGTTGCCAGGTGAGCCTTGGGGCTGGTTGTTGGTCAAAGCTGCTTGCAGTAGTCCAGGGTTTTCTCTTTGGGCTCAGATGTGTGAGTGAGGAGTTGGAGCCCTCAGATTTTCAGATGTGTTGCTGGCAGGCTGGGCATTCCAGAGTTCAGACTAGCAGGGTCTTCTGCTGCGTTTCTATCAGTACTCTTTCATAAAGCCTTCTTTTGGTTTGGGTTTTGGGTTTTTTTGACTGGTAAGCAGTTGAATTGTAAAATACTGACCAGCTCTTTCCAGATAAATTTTATTTTTAAATCAGATTKTAGTTTGTGTGTGCTGTGTTAGAGGTATTATTCTTTGGCTTAAGAAAATACTGGGTTTGTTTATGTGCACCTTGTTTAGAAAAAGAAACAAATGCACAGCCTCAAAAAGCTGGTATGCATTTGCTTGAGCACCAACCATAATTGTTTATTCTTCCCAGCCTTTCCTGGCTGGATGTGCATACTTTTCAGAATAAATCAGAATAAGCATCCCACTGCTGAAACAGGAGAAGGGAAGTGTGCCCACGCCTCTGTACGACATTGCACACCTAAAAAAGGCATTAAAAGAGCATTGTGAGGGTTGAAAGTCAAACACTGAAAAGTTAGGAAATAGCAGTGTTAGGGTTCCCTGTGCACCCTTAATTTGCCCCCCCAGTGCGTGTGCATTATTTTCCAGGCTTTAATTACAGGGTCCCTTGCTGGGTTCTCCACGGGCTCCCTGCCTCCCTCTGCACACAGAATGGACTTCACTCACTTAATGAGCAGCTATTCAGGATTTTGTTTTCTCTTATTGTTCACTCTGTGCCCCTCTGTCTTATTTACCAGGCTCTATTCAAGCRCTGTTCCAGAGGCAGAATTATTAATTTCCTCTTGAACTTCTGCCGATCTCATCACTATTGTATCTGAGCAGTTGATGAGCAGTTAATTAATTTTCCCCTGTGAGATGAAGGGATRTTTTAAAGATGGGGAAACAAAGCACAGAGACATTAAATAAAAAATAATAACTTGATGTTTTAGGGGCCAATTAGAGCTGGCACGGGCCCTCTCTTCCCTGTGGTGCATAGCATTCTGTRGCATGCTCATAAGTCCTGGCTCCAGGTGCTGCTCCTGCTGGATTTCATGGCCTTGGTTTGAGTGGCCATGTCAGATTCCACACAGCYCAGCTCTCCGTGGGAGCATGCAGCTCCTTTAGCCATGTGAGCCCCTCTTCTGTTCTCTCCCAGCTCTTGGTCAACCTTCCACAGGGTACCACACAGAATGCCTCTATCCTGAGCCCTGCCCTCATCCCTAGGGCTGTTCTTGTCTGGAACTGAGCAAGTGACTTAACTACGTCTCCTAAAATTTCGTGGTTGCTTTTGCCAGTGTGATGGTGTTCCTTCTAGTCACTCCYCCTCCATCTCCTGAGGTTTGAGAGAAGAGCTTTCAGCAGATTCTTCCCTGTGTCATACATAGCCGTCTTTTTAGTATCCAGCTTTCTTCCAGTGGTCTTGAGCCCTTCTCCTCACCCCACTCCTCTGGTCTATGTCTCCTTGGCCTGACTTCTCCTAACTAATGTTACCCGTGCCAGGGATGCACCTCTTGATGTACARGAGTCTGCTCTGCAGCCAGGGAAAAAATATTTTCCACTGTTTTCATCTTCTCCAGAGCTTTTGGACTGGAGTCATTCAAAAAGCAACAGTAGATGCAGGCTGCCAGTGTTTTTGATGGCCAAACAGGAACCGCCCCCCAAAGGCTGGATTTTTTAAGCTAGCATCCGCATTCTGAAAATCAGATCTCTCAAATGTACCTTAAACTGGGCCTCTGGAAGCAGAACTTCACCTCTGGTGTGTATTGAAGTGTCTGACCAAGGCATGTTTGGAGAGGGCACTCAAGTTTTCACCAGGGATGGTGAATGCAGCCCATGGGCCTGGGGCAGTGAACCTTAGAAGCTCTTCCTGCTTTCTTGCAGCCTGTTGAAATACTCTGTGTAGCACACACACACACAGAAAGATTTATCTTATTTCATCCAGCCAGTAGATGCAATTTTGAAGCTGTGGATGGTTTTATTAAAYGGAAATAGGTTAGGAGCTGTCCTCCTTCCCCACCTGCCTGTGCAGTGCAGGTTGGGTGTGTCTGCAGCTGTTTCCTCCTATGTCCATACACCTGGGACACCAGCATGTCTCCTTTCAGGTAGGCAACTGCTAAGGCACATAAACAAAATGTTGATTTTTTAGCTGCTGTGTCTGCTTTGCTTCCTTCTGGCAAAGGGGGTGTGAGGAAGTAAGAGAACTCTGAGGAGGAATAAAATGTCAACAGATGCAGCCCTTCAGACAGAAGTCCAGCCACATTCACGGGGACATGTGCTGGATAGCAGGGAGGAGGTTGTTGTCTGCGTTGTGATGGATTGTATCAGGCTTTTTCCATGCTTGCAAGCCAGCTGTGTATGGGGAGCTTGACCTTAACCTGGGGTCTCCTSCAGGCCTTGGTCACTCTGTCCTGTCTTCTCTCATGCTCATGTTTGTGCTTCACAAGCTCTCCCCTCCTTCCCCTGCCCTCTCACCGTCCTTGGCGGCAAGGACACGGCATTCTCRGAAGCAGTCCTTGCTTAATTCAGCTCTCATTCAAGCCAGCACAAGCAGAGTTTGTTCAGTTTTGGACATTCCCCCATCCAGATTCATCTTGTTTTTGCAGCTCTGCTGCTCTCTCCTCACCATCCTGTCCTCCTCTGTCCTCCCCCAGCATTGACCCACAGCCTTTTGCAATGTGGCAGAGGAGGATGGAGGGTGAGAAATGCTTAAGTGAGAGTATAACCATGAGTTGCAAGTCACACCAGCATCACCCTGTAATTTTGAATGTGCATGCCTTGATTTGTTAATTAGTGTTTAACTGCTGTGTTTTTCAGTTGAGTTCAAGTTCCTCTCTTTCACCTTTCACCAGAAATAGACAGGCTGCTCTGGCTGGAGCAGGGGACCAGAAATGCTCGGTTGTGCCACTGTTGTTCTCCCAGTTATTTATTCTGTCAGGGGGTCTTGTTGGTGGTGAGGCATCATTCCTCAATGTAGTGCAGCAAAAGAAGACTACTCTGACCATCTGACCGGCCTCCTTCTGTTGCAGTGGGATTCTTTTCCCTSAGGAAGTAAACTAAATTCAGAAGGCTCTCTGCTGTCCAGGTCTGGAACCCTTGWGCCAGCTGAGGCGCCTCAGCATCATCAGCTGCCGTGGTTATGTCAGTGGAAAATATGCCTGAAAAATAGTGTTAGGCATATTGACAAGGAAACTAAGCAGAGTTTAATAATCTGGTAGAACACTGTTTAATGAAGGGACTGAGACTTC